TGCATTCTTTGTGTTGCACAAATTAGCTAACTGTTGTTGAATAAAAATATAAATATGTTAATACCAGCTTTTTCAATAAAATTACAACAAAAAAAGAAGGCATAAGTAAATGACTTTGAGGCATGGCTTATTTTGAGGCTAGATGTGAAAGAGCTGTTCAGCTACTGTTACAGCAGAGCAGGATCTGGGGCAGGGCTGCTTGGGGTGACCCGGCGGCACGCAGCACTCCTGCGCTCGGGCCCTGCGCCCGCGACCCTGCGTCCCCAAGAGCTGCTTCTCCTCTGCTCCGTATTTCGTGGCTTTGGAAGACCGAATCCTCCATCTCCGTTTCCTACTGTGAGTAAAGCAGCTGCCCTTCCTGCGTCGTCTTGATGCCTGCCCCAAACACCAGGCCTTGCTTTTGAAGCTCGGTCTGAGGCAGCTGCCTATATGCTCTGTACAGAGCCCCGGCGCTCCAGGAAACCTGTGGGCATCAGCACATATGAGCTAGCTCGCTGAAAGCGCTAAATCCTTTTTTTTGGATGCAGACCAGAATAAATTTGCTTCAGCTGTTGGATGAGGCAGTATATTGCTTTGCACAGCTCACCCAGAGCTAACATGCCATTTTTCTCCCCTTTCCCTTTGTGGGAAGGCAATCAAGCCCACTCATTTAAAAGGATAAATAGGCCTAGGCACTGGAGAGATAAAACCCATTTGAAAAAAAAAAAAACACACATCAAGCCGTGTGCCATTTACGAAGGTAACCTGGTTTTTAGTTTCTCTTTTCATGCCTACATGCCCAGCAGTAGGAGCATAACCAGATGGCTGACTCTTGCTCTTGCAAGCATATTCAGTAGCTGCACATGGTGGTTTAACTCTTTATGGGTTGGGGGGGGTCGAAGAAAATGTTGGGATGAGCCACCTGCTTCTCTTGTTTGCAGCCAACACATCTTGCTTTCAGGCAGAGAGCTGAGTCTTTTGAATCCTTCCAAAGTTCTAGTTATTAATCCCTAGCAAGAGGGCAAGCGTAAGGATTGTTCACCTTCTACGTCCTGTTTTCAGTAACTTTATTCTCATCAATTTGCTCCCACTCCCAATAGTAAGCCAATTTCATTTGCAGTCTTCTCAGCAAATTGCGTTAAATATAAAATTAGAGCGTAAACTCACAAATCTTCTCATGTGGTGGAACCTCAGTAGGCAAGGGGATTAGTGGAGGGGGTAGAGGTTGCAAAACTGGGCCTCATTTCATAAGATGCTCAAGACAGGGCACGTTTCCTTTGCTTAGCGAAGCCAGGAGCAGCTCCGGCTGTTTTGCACATGGTAGTTTGCCAGGCATACAGAAAAGACTTGTTTTCAGTGTGTGCCATGAAAAAGCTTTTTATTAGAAGGGAGTGTTTTCTTCTCTCTGTAGCTGGACTAGAATCACAATTTTATTCGGTGACAGGGAGCATGACCCTTTAGGCACTTAGAGAGCCAGAGTCTGGCCTGTGATGCAAGGAATTTCATGCAAAGCACCTGACAGGAAACTGAGCTACAAATGCTCCCATCAATACAGCTCAGTCAGTTCAATGGGCAATATAGCAAAAAAAAAAAAAAAAAAAAGATTGCATTAAAAAATTATTTTAATTACCTTGCTGATTTTATACATTTTCTTGTTTATTGCAAGCTTATTGTAAAACTAGCAAGAAATTGTCTCCACAGAGGAGCCGTTGCTTGCAGCAAGTTTATGCACACCTCAGCTTGCCTCATGGACGGGGTGGGCGGACGGGGCCGTTTCAGTTATGGCTCCTGCCGTCCCTGCTGGCGGCAGCCGCGCTGCTCACAGCCATGGACCGGGGCTGCGGCAGCCCGCGTCGACTCGGCCGCAGCCATTGCCCCCCTCAGCCTTTTTGAAGTTTAACCTGCACGGCGAACGACTTGCTTTAGAACAGAATGAGGGGTGAGTCGCGCTGTCCTACACCGCCGGCGCCCACACTTTTTGTGAACGAGCAGGGCTCAGCTATGCTGCTTCTCACAATATTGGGCAGTTTCAGCCCGTTACTGAGATTACAGATACTGCTCGTGAGCTTCCTGTTTGCCTCAACTGGCCAGGAATCCAGCGCTACCTTTACCTCCAATATCCCTCCACCTCATCCTATGACTTTGCCAGTTTTCCTGCTAGTCCCTGCCTGGGGCACATGCAGGGACCAGTGGCCATCAAGAGCAACCGAATGTCCCCACAGGACGTGACACGGGCACCTCTGCCTGCTGCAGGGGCAACCGCGAGTGCCCCGTCCTCCCAGTCCCACAAAGGGCCATTGGCCAGCACTGCCCATCTCAGGTGGAAGGTCCACGGGGTCTGAGAGATTGTAACTTAGCACTGCAGATGCAGTAAGAAAGCAGTTCATTTGTTTAAATTTTCAATTAAATGGACCAACCACAAAGAGGCAACTGTCATGAACAATACAAAAACCCACTACAGCAGTTCATAAAGACACAACATTGCTTTATACGTGTCTGCTGGCCTAAGTGACACCAAGTGAATCTTTTCCCTTCCCGACGTTGTTTACTCTTTTGCAGAGAGTGGGGTGGAGAAGAGTCTTCTTTTTTTGCAGGGAGTCCCCCAGGTTTTTGTATTAGTCTCATTAGCTTACAAAAGGAAATAAAGAGGTCCTACAATGAAAACTCAGAATAAGATAGGTATGTGACCCTGACCAACCTACAACAGATTTTATTCACCAGTTTGTACAGCTTAGAGAATGGAAATACATTCTTTATCTCGTAGGCTAAAACTTTAATTATCAGTCTTCGGGATATCTGTCCCTCCCGTTCCCTTCTTCCATGCACTCCACCAGATTATGAACCAGTCAAGCCTCTTTTTTTGGCTTTAAGTGAACATCCCAACCAAAAGCTATTGTGAAATTTTATCTTACCATGCTCAAGAAATGAGTATGGTTTTATACTTGACACAGCAAAGCTATAACAAAAACAATAGGTTTCTGTAAAGTTTAGATAAATCACTCTTTTCTACTTTAAAAATGTTCAGTTCCATTTTGCATTCTTAGCCACCTGATCCATGTTGTGCAGGGACAATCCGCCACAGCAGGATGAACTGCAGCATCACTGCCAGGGGGTCCTTATTTTTTGGAAATAAGGGACTGTGCCTTACCTTCCCAAAGGAAAGTGCTCAAGAAAAGCCCTTGCTCTCCGCTCGGGAGATCGTGGATGGTTTGCACCTGCAGAGTGGGAATTCTTGCCCAGATAGATCCTAGTCCATCACCATTGCTCCAGGCCCTGAGGCAATGAGGAGCACATCTGCATTTGCAAAGGCAGATGTTCGCGTAACCCACAGGCTTCGATGGGCTGAGAAAGTTGGTGACAGCTACCTCACCTGCTCCAGCCCCATAGACCCACTGTTTTGGAGAAAGAAAACGAAGCGAAGAGAACAAAAGTTCTGCCAGGACAACAACAGGTCCAGGGAGTACCGAGTTTATATAAGAACCATGATATACGGCACGTGCATATTCCCAATGCATCTATCTGTCTTCAGAGAATATTTTACTATCTACTTCTGCTGCAAGGTAAAGCAATTGCCCTGGGCTAGAGAAACTACAGGACATAGGGCCGAAACATTCCCATGGAGACTCACTTTTTAAAGCGACGATTACAGATCAATTGAACTGTTACTAGAAGCAGCATTAGGAGAGATTTATGAATCATCCACTTATAACACTAGGGAAGACTCCTCTATAAAGAGAAGACTGAAAAATCCATTTATTGCAAAACCATTTGCTGGAATCATCATCTATCTCCCTTGCTGCTGTAGGGGCACATTGCACAAACCCTGTAATAATGATGCCCTATCATTAACTGAATGCAGTGACTGTGGGAAGTTAGTAAATTCCTTAAACACATTTATTGCCATTTTGGTGATTTTCAACAAATGTAGCCCCCCCAAAGAAACTTGCATTCTCAACATTTTGGTGTTTGAAAATACATTTACTGTGAGGAAATCACAAAACTTCAGAATTTGAAATTAAGGGAAAAAAAAAAGGGGGGGAGAAAAGAAAGAGAGTTATGCCCTAGAGGAAATATTTTAGCTGGCTTTTCTGAAAGAAAAACACATGTAATTCTAGTATTTCTAGTATTTCACAGTCAGTCCTGTGTATAGTCAGCTGTTACACTGAGAATATCACATTTTATTACAAGTCCTGACTACTAAGTTTTCTGTTGCCCACTAGCTTATCACTGAGGTCTATTATTTGCAGAAAAACGGCAGCTTTCCTGCATTCACCACTCTCGCCAATTCTGTTCCATTAAAGTCCAATGAGTTCTAGTCCCTGTACTTCAGCAGAGTGCTCTTTCCAATGAAGACAAGGTAAAATGTGGCTTTAATTACTCAATTCAAGAAATTCTGGCAAATCACTGTCCAGCATTCACCTTTCTGACCAAACTGATCATTTTTCCACCCTGCTATTTAAACGGTAGTTTTAGGTTTGATTCTAGACAAGTTCTTTATGAGGATCCACTCGGTAGACCACTTTTGAAGGCTCTGAACCCTCTTAAAATAACATGTCCATTACCTAAACAAGCAATTGTTTGACGCTGTTTTGAGTGATTATTTATTGAAGTTACAGTTTGTCACCTGAGGCAATCGAATGGCTTGTTGTCGTGGAAACATCTCTGCTGTCACCGCGCTCAATAGAGAGGGAGGAACGGAAGAGGGATGGGAAGAGGAAACGCTTCGTTGAAAAGCCTCTCTTCAAAGGGAAGAAATTATTAAAGACAGGCCACACCGAGATGTGGAAAAGGCTTTCAGCATACACAGATTTCCAAGATATTAGGATGTCTGCGGGCTTGGTTCAAGCCCTGTCTAACATGAGACTAAGCTCCTGCTGTCAAGAATTACCATCTCCCACAGCTACCAGCAACATCTGCAAGGACCTTTCTGGTGCTGAACTTGCAAATTTTGGCGAAAACAATCATACTGTTTTCAAAAATAGAAGAAAAACTCTGTAACAACCTGCTGCAAGGAAGTACCTGCTATCATCTCTCTCTTTGATTTCTGAAAGATTCGAATTCTGACTCTCAGGGCTTCTTGCCTGGGCCTTTACCTGCTGTGTGATCCTGACACACAACCTCTCTACTTTCCCCATACCAATGCTGTAATCCCCACTGAATGGAATACATTACAAGAATACACAGCCAGAATTTCCCTTAAAAGCGCATATCTCTACCTAAGTTCTAAGTAAACGCTCCCACAGATTCTCTGTCTTTCTCATTGTTCTGGTAACAGAAAGTTAGTAAAAACCTTTAAGGTACCGTAAGCACCAACTTTTCTGCATCTAACCCATATAGACACAAGAGGCAGCAGAGTTTGCACCTCAGGGCAAGCAGGACCGCGTGTGGCCACCGCTAGGACAGAAGCCAACGGTGCAGGTTAACCCAGCAGCGCTTAGCTTGAAAGCTACTGGGAACAGAAAGCTTCTCAGCAGCAGTTAAACTACGAAGCAGCTGGGAGAGCCCATTTCACAACTGCCATGCCCTCTTTCCTTATAATTAGTTTATTATTATACAATATTTTATCATCGTAAAAATATTTCCTGCCATTTTGCTGCCCCGCAATGTAAGAAAACACTGCAATGACTTTGTTTGTTAGTGACTTGGGTGACATTGCTGGAATTGGGGTGGTGATGGTGGGAGATGGGGTCTACAAAGAGGATTTTGCTGTTTTTCATAAAAGATTTCCAAATTCTCCCCAAACCAGAATAAAACCGGGATGTGATTCTTTTGTTCGCTGGCGGCGTCCCCAGGAGATGGCGTTAGGAAGGGAGGAAGCGCAACGCGAACCTGGAGTGCCCCCCGATGGCACAAAATTAAAACCACACAAGTTGCGGCTTCGCTAGAGAAGTGACAAGTGCCCGGTGCTGCAAGAAATAGCAGGTTAGATGATAAACCACAAGGAGTCACAGAGGCTCTGTCCTCGCGCTGGAGGTTAACGCAGCCCACATCGTCCATGGGCAGCGCAGCCCTCGCTGGGCTCCGCGCTCTGATCCCACCTTTTAGGCATGTGTGTCGGAGCACAACTCGACAGCAGTTGCGTGATGACGTCTACGGTGATGCTTTTGGCAGTGAGATTGCTGCCAATGATTAGCACAGGAAACACGAACTGCTCGTTACCGTCGTGACTGACACCTCGATAGGGCTGGCGGGGTCTCACCAAGCCCCACCGACCCAGCTCCTCGGCTGATGGAACGGACACCAAGACCAAGCAGCAAGGGTAGCTGCAAAATGTAAAGAGCTTTAACACATTTACCTTGTTTGGTTGATTGGTTTTTAGCCCATAAAGAGCACTTGCTGCTTCTCTCTTAAAGCTTAACTTGCTTATTAGAGAAATATGCTGATATCTAATTGTGATTTGGTAAACAGGGTAAAGAAAACGTCACTTGTCTTTGCAGATAGAATAAACTTATAAGAACTAGCAACACCACAGAGGCAGAAAGTGCAGAAGTTGTGCACGAGCTGAGAGGCACAGCGGAAAAAGTGGCGGAAGAGGCTGCAGCCCCAGGACTCTGCTGCGCTCCAAGCCTGAGCTTGGGGCAAACTGCCTCTGCCAGGGACTGTTTGCACAGGGGTAGTAAAACCCCTTCTCCCAGGCTGTGGTGCCATGAGCCTGCTTAATTCTCATCCAAGGAACAGCAACACGTCTGCTGTCAAATGCTTTAATATATATGCTAAAAAACAGGGCTTTATATCATCACAAAAGTTCAAAGTTCCACTTCCCAGGCACAAGGTACTAGGTTTTAAGGACTTCCACGTGCACACACAGCTAATTATGTGCGAGTCTGCTGCAAGTTATTCTTAGTAAAGAGTAAACATTTGCATTCCCTTCTGTCCAAGTCTAGTGGACTTTGCGATCCAACTGCACAAACAGAACATGGCTGAAACTTGGCAATAAAACACGACATTAGCGGATCAGTGTCAAGAAATAGCTTCCCCAGAGCAACCTGCTGTAACTCTGCTGCACGCGGTTTTGTTTTAATTTGCTTTTCAAGCGCACTCTTTGTCTCTCCAAGCCTTTCTGGCGCGCTGCCTCAGGCGGATTCAGAGGGCTGGTGCCCCCGCTCCCCGCAGCGGCACAAGGGCCGCCCGCGCTCTGGTGGGGACGTGGGGGGTGGCCTCGCTGCACAGCCACCTTGGGCGCCCCACAGGGCAGCCCGGGGCACAGGGCCTCGGTACCGCCAGCGGAAAAAGACAGGCTGTGTTCAAGACATCTGAGTGTTTCCTCGCCGAATGCCTCCGATTAAACAAGCTGTTGCCCATTATTTAAAGACAACCTGGAAAAGAAGACTATAAGGCCTTAGAGAAAAGGCGGTGACTAGGACAAAACCGGCAAAGAAAAAATTTGCAAGGAGTCAGATTCCAGCAGCAGGAGGAGCTCGCTCCAGCACTCCTTCCAAAGGAGCAGTAGCAGGACTGCAGGCCAGGATCACAGACCTGAAGTGCAGTGACGTGAGCCAGACCCATCCCGGGGACTCAGCCCAGCCCCGGGCGGCAGCAGCTGCACAGGGAGCATCTTCAGTGCTGAGTTTTGGCCTTCCAGAGCAGCGAGGCCACCCACAACGCTGGCAATCAAAGATATACTTTCTCTAAAAAGAGAAGTACTGGCAGCTCTGGACCAGGATAACAAGAGGCACCAGCCCTGGAGCAGAACCGTCTATGTGTGACCTTGCCCACTTTCTTAGTGGTGGCAGCTGGGAGAATTCAGAGCTAATTGAACTCAGCCTCTCTCATCATATCCCCCACCACACACACAGATCTGCAGGCACAGAGCTGTGCACAGGGCCCCCTCTCCTCACATCTGATCGGGACATGCAGCAGATTGCAGGTGTGCTGGGGCAGACAGGCCACACGGATCCATCCCAGGGGAGCATCTCTGCTGCAGGCAGCCCGGAGCTGCATGCACGGCCTCCAGCCACAGAGCAGCCCCGGGGTGCTGAGAGCTGAGCGAGGCTGCGATGGCCCAGGCTGCAAAGCCACCCTTGAGCTACTAGTGTCCTCCCTGCCCTGGGAACATTTCTTAATTTTGTGTGTCTCAAGATAGGAGCCTCCTGCCTGCAGTCAAGCATGGGAAAAGCTGCCTGCTTGGCAGGAGGAACAGTGGGAGTGCACTGGGAGACATTCAGTGTTTTATTTCCCTTGTTGCAAGGGGAGGCAGTGCAAGCGGAATTCATGTTTCACCCCCAGGTGGAAACCGGCTAGTGAGAGGACCAAGGGAGCTGGGGGTCAGTCTGCCAGAGGGCAGAGGCCGGGCAGGGACGGCCGCCATCTAGCCCTGAGGGCAGGATGGTTTCTCCTCCTGGTCAACTCCAGCTGTGTGTTTAGATGGGCAACCTGCAGTGTCAGCTGGCTCTGCTGCAACAGTTGTGTTTACCCCTCCGTATGACTGATTAATACACACACACATAACTGAGGTGCTGGGCATACGTACCTTGCTTCCAGCTAAAAGGTGATTATTAGTAACCTTCTCCTACTATTTTGTTTGCATTATGTTTTGGAAAATGCAAGTGCACGTACACGTGTTTTTCTGTCAATAGGATTGCCAAGAAATACCTGCTTCAAGACTCACTTCGGATGCTCAATACCACAACTCACCGTGCGCTTGAATCAAAATGAGTGTAGGTAATGCTACTGACTGTACAAAGTTATGTGAAAACTTCAAAAGGAGAAGCAAAGCTCAAGTCAGAGAGACACAGTGAAAACCAGATTTTTTCATTGCTGAATACTCGTAACAGGAGGGCAGACCTCATGTTTTAAATGTGAAACTTGTCCTGCATAAGAAACTTGAGGAGTGGTAAGTAGCTTTCCCATAATAAAATGAAATATTTAGGAATTTTATTTAGGAATAAAAGGGGAAAAAAAAAAAAAAAAAAAGCTACCTTAAAGTAAGGCAGACAATCTGATTTGGGTGTGTGGTTTCTAACCATTTCTGTTCCTCTTTAGGTAGCATTTGTTTGCATATAGGAAGTTGATAGACCAGTTTTAAAATCTGTTTACAAGTTGGTGAGTTGTGCCTAGGTTTTGCTGCATAGATTAGTAGTTTCTTAACTTAATCATTAAGTAGCAGTTTTTCTTTTCCTTAATAACTACCTGCTAACTGTTCAAATTGCTTTAACCAGAAAGTTGTGATCACAGCCTCTATCCTCATAGGCACCTTATTAGCAAACACAACTCTTACACATGAATTAAGAACACAGTTAAAATGTTGAAATTTACTTTGCCTTTTTCAGTGGAAACAGAAAAGCCAGAAGTCAAGACTGGCACGTACTGGAAAGGGGCACATTTCTTTGTGTCGAAGGCTTAAGTTCTCCAAAAGCCCAGTAATATACAGAACCACAGTGCTCACACCCCTAATTCTTATTATCTTACATATACAAACAAAAAATCATCTCTATAATTAATAATAGCTCTTTTACACACGTCAGACTAATTTGCGCTAGGAAAGAAAAGTGCATCTAATGCACATGGATGACTTTTCCCCCCTTTTAGGCTTGGGCAAAACACAAGTAATAAACTCCTCGCATCCTTGCCTAGCACAGGAGGCTGCTAGTCACTACAGAGTGGGCTCTTAAAATATCTGGAATTTCTATATGTGATTTTCTTTTCTTTCTTTTTTTTTTCTATGCTTACAGAATGATGTACCAGTTCAGAGAACAGGCAGTACATTTTCATGCTACTTGGTGTGAAGAAAAAAATCATATAATTAATATTTACTTTATTTGCGCATCTTCTAAATTCTAAATCTGATTTTAGAGAAGTACAGCTGTACCTAATTTAGATGTGTCAATAGCTATATAATATCCTCCTCCTCAGTTAATTAATACTAATTCAAAAGAGAATTATCAGCGTTGAGAAAGGGCACCTATCTTTGGAACTGTTTAAAATTCGGCATGTCTTCAAAACTGAGTAAGAAAATAACAAATGTAGAATTAATTGAGTAGCTAACAACAGCTTCCACATCCTGTCTCTCTTTCCAGTCCAGAAGATGGACTGTTTTGTAATATAAAATTGTAGGATACATCAGTAGGACAAAGTTATCTGCAGCGTTTGCCTGCAAGATTTAAGATAAGTCTAAGCAGCCTCTGCAAAAACAACTTGCCTGGGACTGCAATTGCTTGTGAAGTATTAATGATTTTGGGATTGATAGGAGTTAGAAAGACAAGATTAGCCAAAGGTTTCAGTATTCTGAGCAAGACAGACAAGAAAATGGAGTGCTGGTCATCATATTGATGCTAATGAGTCAATGTGTCATCTTTTTCCCAAATAGAAAGAAAAAAAAAAAAAGCACCAAAAGGGCTGGACATTAAAAGACTACATTTAAAGATTCTGAAGTCAAATTCATCTCTTTTCTTCTCAGATGCACACAAGGGCTGGAAATACCAAACATGGAGGGATAATGAGCTCATACATGCTGGTTTAAGAGCTTTCCATCTCCACTGAGAAGAAACATCCATCAAACTAAACTGTTCCCTCTCTCCCTGGGCTCTCCCACAGTTCCTAGCAAAACTGGAGATCTTCACCTATTTTTTCAAAAGCAACACAATTATTCATTTTAAGTTTTTCTTTACTACTATTGTTACTAACATCCCCCCTTTTTTTCCCTCAGAAAAGGAGGATCTAAAATCTAAATGTAAAATCTAGAATTTAAAAATTTCTTTATTAAACCTCAAAAAGAAACGTGTGTTGTGGATGGGAAACTGAGGTACCTGAATTAAGCCTTTTGTCTCATCCTACAGATAAACTACCTCTAAAGAAATAAATAGAACCAAACCTCCCCCTTTTTGCAACACTTTCTACTCAGACTTCCTTCAGTTTTCCCTTTGTGGAGATATGCAGTAACTTCCTCAAAATTCCTCACAATATGCCAGTAAATTGACATCCTTATGTAAAGAGTAAATGCTAAAAAGGGAACAATTTTTAACATCAGCTTTGTTTTTTTTTTCTGCTTTCTTCTGACAAACACATTAATAGAAGATAAACAAATAACTGAGTACAAACAAAAATTAAAAAAAAAAAACCCAAACTTCTGTATTTTCATTTCAGAGCCAGAAAGTGTTTATAAAGAGCATATGAATATTCTAAAAAAGGAGGATAAAACTAAGTTTGGCTTCCTGTTTGCAGTCACAAGGAGATCAGGTAAGCCAATTTATTCAAAGGTACCCTGCTGCCTTATAGTATCTCAGGTTGAAAGAAGAGATGGTTTAAAGTTTTCAACAAAACTATAAGCATCCTGCAGGCATCCTATTCTAAAGATAGATTTCCTGTGGGATTCAAGCACAACTCTGCAGTTTTGGAAGGTGAAGGTTTCTGGTCTACAGTTCAGGAACATCCAGAGCACCCGGGCTCCAGGAAGGGCATTTCCTGGTGCCTTCAGGTTCTTCCAAAATGCAGTCCCAAGTCAAGTTTGAGGGGTTCCCAATAGCTGCAGTGCAGTCAGGTGCCTCATTCTTCCAAAAGTTTCCCCTATCAAATGTGTTTTCATTCATATTTTTTTAAATTAAAGACTGATACGCAAAGACAAAAAGGATATAATGCACCACCAAAAGAACAGAGTTCATCGAAATAGTTGAGTATATCCAAAGTTCTGAACCCTTCTGACCACTAGGTAAAAAAAAGGTAGAAAGTCACACAAAAAGCAAGAGTAAAGAGTATCTCTAGCTCTCACAGCTACCAGAACTTGGCTTGATATACTCTAACTTTACTGCTACCTGGAAATAACATGAAGTTCAACTTCAGGTATCTCAAATGAGAAGGTTTAAAACATGAAAAATACAGTTCAGAAAAGAAAGCAACAAAATTGCTCACAATATCAAAGCACAATGAACAAATGCTGTATTCTATTTTAATTCAAGTTCATATTTTAATTCATTTGCAGAATACAAATCATTAAACATATTCTATTTCAGTTCCCACTGTAGATTTTTTTATGCACTATTTTCAGTTACTTTGGCTTGTCTGTTACTGGCACCATCACAATACCAGCCTTACAATATGGTGTTTGTCATTCACACACCAGCATGGCTAATAACTTAGCGTTATATGTGCAGCTATCATAACCAATTAGAACAAATAACATATTTTGAAAGGAATATTTTAATCAAAATGGAAACTAGAGAGCTCTTTTTGCAACTTTGCTGGGGTGTGAAATGGTGTTTCCTTTCAAGAAACAAAACAAAAATCACTATTATCTCACTAAATAGTGAAACAATGAATTCTGTACACAGATATTACTCATCACCAGGTACTGACAACATTACTATCACCTTTATCTAGAAAACACCAAATAAATATGAGGGATACAAGAGCTAATGCAGCCTATGAGATATCTGTTGTAAATCAGACCTGAAAATATGTATAGGCATGTGTGAATATTTAAAGTGCTTTTAACATCAAGCAAGTGAAGGAATCTAGTGTTGCACCACAGGCAAATAAAAAGTCCATTTCAGACAAGAGTGTCCATGCAAGTAATCAGCAGCAATCCTCTGCGTTCACTTACAGTAATATTGAACTAGTATACATCACTTCAGTCATTAGGTGTGTAAAGGCAGGATACACTATGCACACTTACAGAACTCAACCAGTACTCCACATAAGCACGTATTTTGAGCATTGCTACAGCAGGACTTTTTTTTTTTTTTTTTTTTTTTCCCTTTTTAAAAAAAAAAACTTTGGGAGTGAA